GAGCAAACCTGTGCGAGCTCCCACCAGGTGAGGTGAGGCTGGAGGAATGTCAAAACTGCAGCTGTCACTTTAGGGTTTGGTCTGGATAATATGGAGCCGATTGTAGTGGAAACAGATTCTGTATCATTTTGTTTGTTGTTCCAAGGAGGTTTTATATTTGACATCAAATCAGGAAAATGGCCACTGCTGAAGCCAGCTGGTGAGGAGTTTTTCCCTCTAACAGAATGAACTCTTCAGGGTGCTTATCAGAGGCACAGAGAATCTATGGGACACCCCATTGGTTTCATATCTGGAATATGTTCATACTACCTTGGTTGCTAGGTTGGGTCAGTGGTTGGACTTGGTGATCTTCCCCAACCTTCATGACTGTGTGATTCTACCTCACACTGCTTGTAATGAGTTATTCAGCTGTAAATGGTATGCTCACAGTGCCTTTGTGTGGGTCTGATATTTTACTGTTAGGGATGTGTTGGCTTTGTCTAATAGTCCTGATATGAATAACAGGAACAGCCTGAAGAGTTTTAAGGACTTGCCTTTTTATTTTATTTGAGCTGCTTGCCTTGAATCTGGCCCTTGTCACAAGTACTCTCCTCTCATGTCATTTTGAATTCACCTCTTTCTGCTGGCCATCTTTTAAAATGCTCTGTGCTGAACTTAACCTCAGGCTACCAAGATAACTGGCCTTTATCCTTAATTTTTCATAAGAAAATAAACCCCTCCTTTTCAAATAAGCTGATCCTGTCTCCCTGGCAGACAATGTTGAGTGCTGTGTGCTCTTAACAGAGTTTAGAGTGGATCCTATTCATTCATAGCTGATAAATATACAGATAAGTTATGGCTTTGTTTCTATTATTTATATGCTTGGAATGTAAACTTACTTCAGAACAAAAGTCTAATTTTAGAAAATAAACATGCATTTGAAGGTAGACAAATCTAAAAACTAAACATTAGCTGTGTAATATGTTTTCTTATCAGGAACATAAATGGTATCTCAGAATACTGGCGGATGCATTACATATATTAATGAGGGTTTTACCATGTACTGTATCTCAAGAACCCCTTTTCTTTTACTGTTAAGATATGCAATATTAATTTGCATTCAGTGCCATCAGTTACAAATTGACTGCTAGCAGTTATGAAATAAATGCCTATAACTAGTAGCTACTTAGTATTTTCAACTCAACAAAGGATTTTAGAAGGATGGATAATTTAGATCTTTGAGCCTCAACTATAAATAAACAGCAACTGCTGTATAAATCCCACCCTGCTGCAGAGGAAGATTGTATTACAAAACTGACAAATGATTTGCGGAAGAGAATGATGAACCCTTATTACTAAGACACTCTTCAACTTAATCCAAAACAAGATTCCCGGGTAATTTTACGTGCACTGGAAAGATTGATAGCGTGGTGCTTGCCCAGCAGCTTTCAAATGTTTGACTGGATCGGAAATGGCATTGAGGCATGATTAAAGATTCAGTTGGGCTTCTCACAAATTCTTTATCCTGTGTATTCATTATTGCAACCCGCTGCCTTTGTTGCAGGTTAAAGAAGGCTGACCCCAGCTCTGGTGATTAGCACCCTGTACAACTGTGGACCTATGGAAAAAAATGTTTAGGTTGCCTGACGCTTTTAGCATTGTTTATCAGCTGAAATTGTTGGGGGGGGGCGGGCTTAATCACAATGGATCAGGGAGAGTCTGTGACAACTGACAAGCTCATTGTTTAAGACATTTTTTAACGAAGTTGTTAACATTAATTCTTTTATATAGTACTCTAATCTTCTTCAAATTATGTTCTGACATGGCACAAACTGCTTGGCATTGAAAGTCATTCAACAGTGATTAAAGTGCTCTTTTTATTGGTTTAAGAATGTTTCATCTTGTATCAGCAGTATGGAATTGTTTACTAATTAGATTGCCTAACATCCTCTGCTGTTGTATGCTGATGATATGTGAACAGGAAAGCTGATGAGCAAAAAATTAAAACTTGTTACTAAACTGTCATAAGGCCCAGCATATAAAGATGTCATTCAAAGGACTGTGTTCATAAGGGATGAACAATATTTGCTGAGAAACAGAGCAGTTACTGCCTAGCAGTGCAGGCAGTTTGCACTTTTCTCCAGCTCTGGCTCTTCACAGATCATAGATGCAAAGGAAGGATTTATGCCTTGGGAACCTTCCCATTCAGCATGGCATATATGATGCTTCTAGGCATCCCACTTTGGGCAGGAGGTTGGGATGGACACCCTTCCCAACCCAAAACGGGATTTGATTCCTGTGACTCTGATGCTCACTCCTCTCTGTCCTCGGAAAAGCCACTTAGGCAGGTCCTCAATGTCTGAATGCAACCAGATCACAAAGGAAATTAGGGGCTTAAATGGCTCTGAGAATCTGGGATTTACCTTCTGTTACATAGTTTTTCTGTCTGAAGCATTCTCCTAGGCTTGATGTCCTAGTTCATGTCTGTCCATAATTGTGAGATACTAAAGCTTTACCCTCTGTCAACGAAGGGTTAAATACAACTGCATTTCTCTTAAGTAATAAGAAAGGTACTTTTCTTTCAATGATAGAACCATTGAATTTTCTTCTTCCAAAACAGCCAACATGATTGAAACATTTAGAAAGAAGTAAGGATACACACAGCCAAAAAGCAAATGGCACGTTGCTTACATCCAGTTCTCAGCAAAACACTGGAGGCATCGCAAGATAAAGTGCTTTGGGCTTCCAGCCACACAATCTTTTATCACTCAAAGTAAATATCCTATGCTCACACAGGGAAAACTATTTTCTTCAGGAGTCTAGCTTGTGTCAATGCTCAAGGTATAAAGCACTGCTGTTGTGTTCTGGGACGTTTTTCTGCCTGATGAGAATTTTGTTTAAACATCGTCAAATTCGACTCATTTGAAAAGATAAATTATTGTTTGGGTTGGATTTTGAGCTGGCTCTGATAAACTTCCATTTTATGAATTAGCTGAATTCTATTAGAGATAGCCTGAGTTTAGCTTGGCTGGACAGATGCTTTTCAGCAATAGCTTGAGGGCTCTCGCTCTGCATTGAGCAATTCAGTTTAATTTTACCTTTCTAATGAAAGTCCAGTTGAATTGCTTGCAAAAAACTAATAATACTTTTTAGGGGCTTTGAGACATTCTAAACAGCTGAATACAGTGATCATACCTGTACTGTGGAGCTTTATAGGATAGTGGAAATGAGCATAGAATTTTATTGTTCTCTATTAATATTATTTTTAGTAGAACTCTCTTCCATTTCTGCTACCACCTTTAAGATACTTTCTCTTTTTTTAAAAAAGATACTGGTTTAATAAGAGGATTACTATGTATTATACTAAATTTAAAAATATTTTGGTCTGTTGATAAATATATGCCTTTCAAAATACTTAATACAGACAGTTTTGGTTTACCTTGTGATGGGAGATCATTTCTAAGCTGTGGAGTCATCATTATCAGTTTAATCCCATCTGCTGTGGAAAATGCATGTCTTGCAAACAAATATGCACTTCTTTGCTGCTACAAAGTTGAGATGCCTCAAATAAGGAGAACTGGGGCTTTTTAAACTGCTTCCTGTCCTTGAAGGATGAGAATGCAAAGTAGAGGTCTTCTGCAGGTTGACCCCTCTAGCAGCACCCTGAGTTTCCTTGGTTGTGACAATGAAAGGCCAAAAAAAAAAAAACCAAAAAAAAAAGGAGCAGAGGAAAATCACAAGAGATTGAAGCCTATTCTCTTTTCCCATTAAATTATCTTAATGTGGCAACAACTAATTTCTCTTCATTTACTTTTTCAATTGCACTTGGCAGCCTCTTTATTCTGATTCCTATCAGCTCATAATTAGTTACCACAGAAAGGACTAAGATGTACATAAATAATCATAAGATGCCAGATAAACTCTATCGGTTTTAAATTAGTGTTGTGTTTTGCTAATGCGCTCTCACCTATTATTTTTAATTATAGTTTACAAAGCAAAATAGCTTCTTGCCCTCTCCCCAGCTGTGCTGGCACTGTGCTTTTAGTCTGTGCCAGGGAATAGTCCATTGCCCATGCCAGGGTGCTTGCCCCAACCCTGTGGCCTCCATCTGCAGGTTTCTGTTGGGACAATTCAGAGAAACCCATTCTTCCTGTTTGGTATTTAAATAAAAAAAAAAAAAAAAGGAAAGGAGAAACAGAGAAATCAAGAAAAAATTTAAAAATTCCTTCTGATCCACATAAACCTCTAATCTATCCACTCCGTTTCTTAAAGCATTATAAGACATGAGAAATGGTTGTTACAGAGTAAAACTCCACTGGAAAGGCTCGTGTCTCTGCAGCACCAGCCCTGTCTCTGCCTGCAGCAGACAAATGCTCTCACATGGCAGCAGTGACAACTGCCATGGGGAGACCTGATCCAAGATCCATGGGCAGGTTTGGCACCAATCCCGACTGCACTTTACATGATAGGTCTTAATTGGAGTGGCCAGGTTAATTTTGCACAAGAGGTTTAAAAAACCCAAACAAACCAAATCCATCTATCAGCTGTGTTGCAGGTCGGGGTGCCTGAGCCTATGGTCCATGATTTCTGTGATGCAAAGGGAAATTTTGAGGTGCTGCTTTCAAACCTGGCTCAGCTGTTCTGAGTCAAACAGCACCTGGTAAACACAATCCAGTGTTTACCAAAAAGGAGCAAAACACCCAAGCTTGGAGCTATGGGTCAGGATTCTCGTTTTCTTTTCTTTTGCCTTTAGAGGGAAGGAAAAGAGAAAAGTCTCCATAGAAGTGGTTTGTAAATAAGTGTCCAAGAGGCAGTGCCCTCAGCAGGGCTGCAGCCTTGTCCCCAGGCAGGTGACCCTGCCAGCCGCGCTGCTTTGACAGCACGAGACACGGCTTCAAAGGGCTGCGGCAGAAATTACACGGATAACAACAAACCGTATAGTATCTCTCTATGTATTAATATAATTTTGCTTATTTTTCTCTCTCTTAATTAATTTTTTTTTTTTTTTTATTGCAGCAACAAGGAGCTGCCACGAGCGTGTACTGCGGCACGGCGGCGGAGCTGGAGGGGCTGGGGGGGATGTACTTCAACAACTGCTGCCGCTGCCTGCCCTCGCAGCAGGCACAGGGAGATGCCACGGCTGCTGCCCTCTGGGAGCTGAGCGAGAGGCTGATCCAAGAACGAATTGGCAGCCAGGCCAAATAGCAGGGAGCTCCTGGAAGGATCAAAACACACGAGTGTGTGCACGCTCGGAAACTGCCAACGCTGGAACCTGTCCAATCTTATCATCTAGAGGGTTTCCATGTACCTCAGATACAGATTAACCAGTGTTAAATGAAATAATAGCAGTCACAACATAGTGAAAAATGTTAAGTACTAATGGGAGGTGGGGAATACTGCGGGTTAAAGGGACAATGCGGCTTCCTGGGGCTTAGTTAGTCTCGGTTCTCTTTCTTTTGATTATAGCCTGTTCAAAGTGTAACCCAAGGAGGCATCTTTTGTCTTATTTTAGAAAAGCAATTCTGCAAATAATGTCTGTTGTTTTGATTAATGGGTAGGTACGTAGCCCAATATGGGATTTCCTCCTTATTTTGATAATTACTGTCTGTTAGGCTTTAGGTATTGATTGGGAGATGGTAGTTTTGTTGATTCTTTTTCCCTGCAAGGGTTTTATTGGGTGTGGCAAATCAAAAGATTATTGAGGAAAGAAAACTTTTCTGCCTTTGACTCTTGGCTGCAAATACATCTGCGCTGTCTAGAAAAAGAAGGTGCAGGAAGACATCTGAACAGTAATGGTAAAGTCACAGCTAATTAAATATTTCTGATTTTTTTTTTTTTTTCTTAAAAGATTACAATAAAAGATATGTTGTAAACCATTCCCTAAGTACTGTCAAGTTAGCAAAGATGATGATGTCTCCTTAAGAACACACAGAGTGTAATCAGGGGTTTAAATGGTATTTCCATCCATTTCTCGGTTCACAGTTTTATGGAGTTTTTTTCCTTGAAAGTTCACAGTTTCTCAGTTCTCCTGATACTGTATCCCATTCCAAATCTGTCTTTTCTTTCCATTTAAATTCAATAAAACAACATGCTTGCTTGAATATTGTCACCTGAAGAAAAAGTTTGTCTCATTTCTGCAAATGTCTTAATTCCATTTTTTTTAGAAAAGAAAACTTGAGGAAAAATAAAGAGCTTCTTGTTGATGCCAAGAAAACGCTGTTTTTTTCTTGTTTCTTTCTGAGTTCATTTTTTGTATTTTGTGCTTTGTAGCTGTCTTCATGCCAGAAGGTTGTTCTAAGCCATCCTCAGTCCAGCATCACATTTTCTGTAGACAGAATATAAACAAATGAATAGAAGGGCACATTGTTAATAGAAGTTTATTTGATCCCCTTATTATTTCTGCTTTATTGTTAACAGTCTGCCTTCTATGATTTTTTTCTTGTCTGCAATCACAGTACATTGGATTTGTTGTTGAACAGGAGTTAAAGTCAAGATTCTACCCAAGTGCAACCTCAGCTGCTCCTTCCTTGTCTGCTTCCTTACCTGATGCCACAGTCTTTCCTAAAGCAGCAGTAAAGAATATATGGCCTTTTTTTATCCCTGCTGTGCCACCTCTGTAGCAATAGCTTCAGGAGACAGCAAATCCTGCCCACTCATCTTCCCTGACTCTCCACAACCCCTTCCCCAAGGACAGCACATCCTGCATTGAAACACTTGGTGGAATAAAGAAATAAAAGGGGCTATTCCAGAAAGAACAACACCTCTTGTCAGCCTTTTGCAGATTTAAAAAAAAAAAAAAAAAAAAAAAGGGTCTTTAAAAGGTCTTTCTTGTCTCGTAGAAGTTTATGCTGCACAGACCAGATGCTGGTGTAGTGCAGTGTCTGAAAATTCATGGCCTGGGTTGAAGGCTTTGCAAGTGGAGGCAATGGCTGCAGCCAAATCCCTTGTATTGTCTGGAGTTTAACTGGGGAGAAAAAGTGATTAACTCCTGTCACCTGTGCAACAGCCCTCACACACACATTATTTTTCCCTTTCACAGCCAGACAGAATTTCTCTGGTATGACACAGGCAGTGTGTGACCATAGAGCTTTGCACTGGAGCTTGGCATTGCTGGGTTCAGAAGAGGCACTAATTAAGTGATGCCAGGAGCTCTGCTCTCCCCTGAAGGCCTGGGCCTTCTGCTCCATTTAGGCAAACATTAATAACCTATAATGAACCCCCTGTCATTCCTTATTGCTGAAATATTGTTCGCTTCTATGAGAATTCAGTACTTAGGGATATTGCCCGCCTTCCTTCAAACAATATCTGTGTGCTTTTCCTCTGTACCCCACTCTCTATTTCAGTGTTACAAGGTAAGAGCACTTTTTAGTGCTAGCAGAGCATAATTTTAGCATAGTTTTAGTTTTGCACTAGTATGAGGTAAGCTAACCCCTAAATTCACTGAGTTGTTTGGGTTCCTCTGGTTCTTATTTCTGGCTATTATTTACTTGCACCAGTGTAATGCCCTGTCAAGAATTCACTGCCATAATTTTCTCCAATGCAGATAAAATTACTCACTCCCTATTTCTTTCTTTCTTACTTTTTATTTTACTCTGTCATTCTCCGTTTCTTTTTTTCCCCTCTCCTTCATTTTTTTCTCTCTCCATTTTCCTTCTTCCACTCTCTGTTCTCCTCTTTGTCTCTCACTCTCCTGTGTTGAGATAGCCAGCATAAAAAAAGGCTTTTTCCAAATGAAAAAACAAGACACCAATCCGTAGAGCCCTCGCTTCTATTAGAAACACTTGTGAAAATAATTTTTCTTGCAATCTCAGTTTGGTTTCAGCACAGGAGGGATGTGCAGGGAACATTAAAAAAAGAAAAGCAATTGAAAAGAAACAGACTCCAACTCCTCCATTTTAATATCCTAGATGTGCCTAAGTCATTGGCTTTCAAATATATTTTGGTGTAAAATTTGGCACATTTACAGCTGGTCAGATTTATTTATTTGACTGGCTTACATTTTTCCGGTTGATTTACCTGAGGCAATGTCTGTGTGAATTACTCCACAATGCATTGACTCCAGTGTTCATTAAAGGTAGTTAAGTGATCCTGTGTCTAATATTAAAGCAAACCCCATTAACCTTAACTAGTATCATATCAGCAAAACAAAAAGAACTGAATAAAGCAAAATAGATCGGGTATTTATAGTTCTTGGAAAAGATCCAGCAAATTCACATCAAGCTCCTAATAGTCCTAATAAGCACTTGCTAGTTATCCCCATGAAAAAGGAGGAGCTGCTCAGGGCTGTGTCTGATGCAGGACTTTGGGGAGGGGAGGTGCCGTGGAGCATTTCCCACCCACACCCTGCAGGGCGTTGTCCGACCCTTTCCTCCCTGCTTTCCTTCCAAAGTCAACATTTCCCATTTTCAATGGTGATTTTTTTTTGTCCCTGTATCGGTGCCCTGTATCTTCAAGTCCGTGTAGGTGAGTGAGCAAAGTCTCTTGCTGGGATTGAAGAGCCAGGAGGTTTAGGGGGATTGGAGGTGCCTTTTCAATCAGTGCCAGCTTCCACTGCTGTCCATTGTTCTGCCCAGACAGGCACTGACTGCTGGGACCTCTGCTTGCCAAATCAGGTAGAGGTGAACCAGCAGAAACCCATGCCAAATCCTGACTTCTTTTATTTTTCCTTCCTGCTTTTTCTTTTGACATCTGGGAGACAGATCCCAGATATTCTCAGACCAGGTAGGGCTTTTTATTAGAGAAATCTTTCCAGCAACACTACAATAATTTGACTTATATCAAGGTTGAATAACTCCTTGTCAGGTGTTAAGCTCATGACCTTTCAAGCCAAACACACTTATACTAACCAGTTTACCATTGGAATGATCAATATCTTGTAAGTGAGAAAGTCTAGACAGATCTTATTTTGTCCTTTGGTATCACTTGTGGCTTTAGAATTGATCATTATATGTGGCTGGGGAAAAATTGCCTATACATTTCATGCTCTGTATTTATCTTGACAAGGTTCTCTAGGATTATATTTTCATAATCTGAATGGCAGTGGAACAGCTGCTCAGACTGTGCAAGCCCTTCTTACTGGGCTGAATTTAAGCTACGGTAATTACTCTTTCTCCTTATGTATTTCTTTTTTAAACAAGCGTGTACTATACATTAAAATGTATGGTTGGGGTGGCAGGGGGCCTGCTGAGAAGCTTGGAAAATGCTGCTGAAGTGTATTTCCTTCCACACAGTGGCTTTGTATTTTATTCTAAATGTAAGCCCATGTTTGATCATGAGTGGGCTCTGAAGCAGAGTCCCAGCCTACGAAGGGAAAATGTCGTTTTATTAACAAATCTTAGAGTCATGATTCCCTGAGACTGGAGGCAGTTTAGGAAAGATAGAACAGCCAAGAGTAATACCCAGTAGTAAAAGCATGACTGATTGAAACCTTCCACTGGTCCCTTTGCAAAGAGAATTCTTGGTGACACCCAGGCCCAGGGAAGCAGCTGAACCATCACCAGGGCCACAGGGACATGCTCAGGCTGATGCCAGGCTTGGGAGGTGCCTGAGTGACACAGTGATGGAAGCACTGAAATACAGCAGACAGATGGGTGGCTATTTGCTGCTGTTCTTTACTGTGGGACAGAGGAAAGGGGAAAATAGAGAGGCACCTTGGAGAGAAAGAATGTGCTGCTTTTCTCTTGAGTTTTTAATTTTTTTTCCCCTACACTGCTAACTGTGTTATTTACTAGATGCCTTTTCTGGGCTGTGCTTTTTCTTCTCTCCCCCACCCCTGTTGCGTTTGCAGAGTACTTTCCAAGGGGTGTTTTGTGAATTAGCTTCATGCTTTAAAAGAGAAGATTGCTCTGGCAGAGAACAGCATAGTTGTAAAAGTGTCAAGGTGTTATGAATGTCCTGATGATAGAGCCCAGTTGTTATCTGCTGGGTAGTGAGGGAGGATAGCTAATGATGTGCAGCATGTAAACCGTTTGTTGCTCTAATCCATCTGTGTGGAGAGGAGTGAAAAAGAGGGGCGAAATCCTGGGAAAATTACTTGGACAGCTGGAGATAAAGTGTGTACTGATGGAGTCATCCAGAGGTAGCTGTCAACATGAGCTGTGTTTGCATATAATCCAAGCAATGCACAATGATTCCTTTTGGTACCGTTTTTTTAATGGAGGTTCATGTGTCTGTGCACAGACCTTAATTACTATCCAGTATCTCTTACCAACTGGGCTCCAGTTTTAAGTGAGGAATGTGATTTTAATCAATTCATGGCTGGGTGGTGGAGAGAAGTACTACAAACAGACCAAAGCAAGACATATGGATCCCTTTGGAGGACCTGAATTAAATGAGAAGCAGTCATTTTATTAATTCTGCTGTGTTTTATAGACCTTTTATATGGAACATTACCCATACAACTTCACTAGCTAATTAAAAAGGGCTCTTATCAATTTGCTGGGCAGTTGCTTATGCAGGGGGGAAAAAAAAAAAAGAGAGGAAGAAATAATATTTTTTTTTGAGTCCCAGAAAATCATGAACCTTAAGGGGGTACAGAACAGATCACCAAATGCCTGGTGAGACTATTTGGACTGTTTAGCTTCACTCTTCTAAAAGAACTGTTGTGAAAACGGAACGTTACACAATGCTTTGAGACTGACTGCACCGTGCGTGTTGTTCATATGGAAACCTTACACAGGTCTGGTGCAGAGCCTGCAGATATGTGAGCACAGGCTAAATTAAGGGCTTTGTACACTGGATTTCTATGATTCCTCCTGGCAAAGAAGGCACCCTTTTCCTTGGGCTGGCGTTAGCCTGTAAGAGAAGCAGTTTGAGCAGCTTTGTCATGTTCTTAGCCAGGACTGAGGAGTGATGCTGGCGGGTGTGGAATGTGTGAGCTTTTTGCAAAGGGAGGAGAGAGACAAGCGAGTGCATGGGAGCCACCCTGGTCATCACTGATCATCACATCAGCGTGGAAATGATGGCTTTAAAATGGACTTTGCCTTCTGCAGGCAGCCTGAGAGGAAGGGCAGGACACGCGGGGGAAGGTTTTGGGAATGGGGAGTGCCTGCCTGAGTGCAGCCCTCTGTGCTGCTGCCTGGGTGGGACGGGACGAGGCTGAAGCCATCCCAACACCTGGAAAGCAGCATCACAGAAAAACAATCAGCAGGGACGGAGAAAAGAAAAGTCTTCTAAACCCCTCGCACCTCCATAAACCCTTACTTTACGTGGCGTATTGGATTTTACAAGCAGGGCGTCTGCTGGGAGCTGTCTGCCGAGCACGCACTTAGCAGTGATTGAACACCAGCGTTTTTAGCATTTTGACTCAAATCCAGTGTACACCTG